GCTAAACATCACCGTTGAGTGGTTATGTATTTATATACAAAGTTTCGTTGAAATCTGTTCTGTAGTTTAGAAGAAATTTCTTGATCGCCGGGAATTTAAGTGACAAATTACCCGGCGATACGGGCCGAATATATGGAAGTGTGAAATCAAGAATGACGGTTAAATGAAAAAAAAAACTCGCAAACGAGGGTGAAATCGAAAATGTTTAATAGAGCTAAAAAAATAACAGCTTGGTAGTTAGCAATGGAATGGAGTGTTGGGAATGTAATTTTCGTTCAAATCTGTTCAATAGTTTGGAATAAATCATTTTATCAATGCGAATTTCTCCCTGTTTCGCAATATACGCGCAACTCACGAATGAAGGAGAAATTTAAAAAAAAATACGAGCTAAACATCACCGTTAGGTTCTGATGAATAGGTGTTCCAAGTTTCATAGAGCTGCGTTCATTAGTTTGAGAGATATACTTGCTAATTGAATTTGAAGATTGGCCGTGAGACCAGCCACGACCGAGTCCGGCCGCAAATTTGCCCGCGACGTCCTTGGCTTCTAGTGCTGAAACAGTTCAAACAGCCGAAAAACATATTGGTTCACTAAATGGGGATCTATTTGTGAAATGCACATTTGTGTTTAATCTTTATCTATCAAAATTGCAGCGTACTAAATTCCAAGAAAGTGGCGTATGTCTGTGGGGGGCGCTAGAAATTCACTAGGGAGACAAAGGGGGCGCCAGCGTGAAAAAGTTTGGGAACCACTGATCTAGAACACGTACATAAGGTACTTTTTTTCTTTTTATAAGCAACATTTCTGACAAATAATTTCATTGAATTTGAAAGTAATAGTCTGTTTATGAACAATAAAATTTCTGGTGTTTTGAGCTACCGTAGGCAATCTGCTATTCTGTATTCTCGCCAAGAAAAAAACTGGAAACACTGGTGCCAGTGTCGCGGAAAGAACATTCGGTCCGCTGCAGTGTTGCCAACTGCCAATTGGGTCATTTGGGTGGATAGCTAGACTGCTTGAGGTCAGCGTAGCCCAAGTCCACAGTGCGATTCATATACCTTACGGAGTCACGGTGTAACGCAGCCGGGCATCTTCACGGCTTGTGTCAGACTTTTGTGTCTCAGTCTGACACAAGCGCCCACCACAACAGCGCAGTTCAGTCACAGGCCGGAGCGCATACAGATAGATGATACAGGCCGGAGCGCAGCAGGCCCTACCACAACAGCTACTCCTGACGTAACATCCTAACCTAACCTGCGCCGCCTGTTGCGGTAGGGCCTGTTGCGCTCCGGCGCTGTGAAGCAGTGGCTGTGTTGTCTGTTGTGCAAAGCGGATTTTCTGTTGGCCAAAGTTACCCACAGCTCATTCCTCATTGGTCTGAGGCTATGTGTAGATATTGCATGCTGATGGTTGGTGTTAGGCCCAGCCTCCCAGGGCCTGTTTACGTTGTACGAGTCAATTTGGTTACCCACGGCTGCACTCCCTGTCCCCTGCCGGCTGCCAGTTTAGTTAGTTTGCGGTGCATGCCAAAGGGGCCAAGGCCAGCTTTGCCAAACTGCACTGCACACTTAGTTCATACTATTCCTTTCCATACCATAGCCTCCATAGCCATAGACTCACATAGGTAAGAATGCTAGAGTGCATAATGGACTATGAAGTAAAGTGCTCAAAGCCATAGGGCATAGTGGCAAACCAGAGCTTTTTTAGAATCAGTTCATTTTTAATTTCCTTATTTACTCAAGATTTAAATCAATTTCTTAAGTATGATAATGCTGGTATCCAGGATACTTTACTGGTGTACTTATAGGACTCAAAAATGAAATTGAGGGAGAGTCTAAAAAACTCTCTGCTTTGCCACTATGCTCAAAGCCATAGCGCCAGATGCCCACAGCCGCCCACAAAATAAGCTTGCCAAAGGTAAACATGGTGATGGTGGCATATGCATAGGGTAAACGCGGTATATTCTGACATCGTAGGTAATTCCGTCACTTCTCTAGTTTTTCCTTTATATTAAGCTTTGTTTTAGTTCCATGCGTTCATTGATGGTTGAAATGGTGACGTCATACATTTGCGTGTCGAAATACTGCAAAAAAACTAGGTCTTGGCCATCTAGCGGGAAAATATTGAGATCCAAAGAGAGACAATGCATGCCACGTGGTGAGATCATCGAAAAATGTGTCAAATTTGACAGTTGACATGGCTCTACCAAATAGTGAATAACTGTTTTTATAGGAAGAATATTATGGTTTGAGACTTTTAAATACGTCTGTGAATATATTAGGAATCCTTTAAGTATACTTGTATTCGCTGATTTCAAGTCGTAAATAAATTAATAGATGATTAAGTTGAGATGTTGGATTTCGACATATGAAAACTAATTCCGACACAACTTGAATTGGACACACACAGATCGTTCAAAGCTTTGTACAAAAATTGAAATTTGCTTAATTAAAAGCCTAATAGCTGTTAATTAAAACGTAATTAAGTAGTGTTCAATATTCGTTAGTGTTCTAATTCAAAGCCGTGTTGTATCCCAATACAGCTCACACAGCAAACGGAATTCGAACACGTGGATGTCGGCAATACGTATCAGTTAAATTTGAAGCGCTGACGCAATACGACTCACCACGTGTCGGATGTTGCCACACAAAGTGACGGAATATAGGGATTTGGTAGGTTTCCATTCTAAAGGCTTTTTAATAAATATGGCAACATTTTGTGACGTTTCATCGTTGCTGACGTGTAGTGAAGTGTTTTGAGAGTCATGTGAAGGCAACAGAACTTATGTAACGCATACGTTTTTTTTATAGTTTTTCATTTCTCAATGTGTCCTTAAAGTGTCGGAATATACCGCATTTACCCTACTACATCTGGCCAAACCTCCTCTGGCCTAACCTCTTCAGGCGGCACGGCAGCCTAACCTATAGGTACTAGCTGAAACCTGTCTCCACAACTCCACTAATACAAACTTGAGTCTGAGTGTACCTAAGCTCATTGGCTGCAAGAAGTTAGTCTAGTTAGAAAGGTGGTGGTCCAAGTGCACTGCAAATGCCAGTCAACAGTCATTGGCTGCAAGAAGGTTGTGAGTTGGGACAGCCTGAATAGGTTAGGCCCAAAGGAGAAGAGGTTAGGCTGGACCCCGCTGGAAGCCTGGAGTAGGTACAGCTGGATCATGGATGGGGAACTGCCTGCTTATAAGCAAGCATGCTTAAGCAACTGAAGACCTAATGGCCACAGTGCTATTATCTCTTGTACCGTAAAATGGGGTAACTTAGACCACTTTTTTTTATAAATGATGCCATTTTTTTACTAGCTAAGTTAAACTTGAATTAAAACATGAAAAATACAGGTCTATACTCTAGCTTTACTCACCATTAATTGCTGGCTCCTGCCTCTCATAGTCTTTATGTAATTTCAAAAAAAGTGATGGTCTTTGTTACCCCAGCTCTTGGGGTAACTTAGACCAGGTGGTAAAATCAATTATATTTTTTGGTAAAATAACTCTAAATAACTCCAGGTTTGGGTGCATTGTAGTAGAACTCTTCTAGTTACATATGCAAATGACAAACTTGAGGAAAGTATCATAGTTTGCAAATGGGGGGCGCCACCCCATAATGAGGGAAATGTGACTACCTAATGGCAGCCCGGGTAATATTGACTGGCTTGGAAATTAAGTTAAAATTACCATATATAAGACTCTGTAGAGTCTGAAACATAAAGAAAAAACATTAATAGGCTGTCAGACATAAAATATGTTATATATGGTAATTTTATATTAACTTCCAAGCCGGTCTATGTTACCCTGTCAGGGCTGACATTAGGTTGTCTAAGTTACCCCATTTGGGGGCAGCGCCCCCCATTTGCAAACTATGACACTTTCCTAAATATTGTCATTTGCATATGTAACTAGAAGAGTTCTACTACAATGCATCAAAACCTGGAGTTATTTACCCAAAAAATAGAAAAATTGGAGGGGGTACTCTGACAGGCTTTAAATAATAGCTTTTTTTGTGGGTCACATTTTTAATTTTTTAACCTATTAGATATGCAAACTTTTTAAATCTTTCTATTCTGTTATGTAGCCTCAGTATTAGGCCTTTAATGCCCATCAACAAAATTTTTCTATGTCAAATAGTTTTTGAGTCATGGGGGTTTTTGTTAAAAAAACGAAAAGTGGTCTAAACTCTAAGTTACCCCGCCGGTCTAAGTTACCCCGCCGGTCTAAGTTACCCCATTTTACGGTACTCTCGTGACTCATCACTCGCTGACACTTGGTAGACGCAGTGTGTGTTGCACTGTTGCTTGACTGGATTACAGAGTTCAAGTGTAGTCTGCAGCTTCTAGTTCTGAGGCAGTGAGGCTGAGTAAAGACAGTTAATGCATGATGAAGCTAGGGCTAGGCATTGGCTTCAACCTTCAAGGCTTATTTAGGAGTAAAATTTGTGACCTTCAGCTGCGCCCCTGTTACTTTCACGCAGCTAACAGCAGACAAAAATTAGGCCTCATGGTTATTGGTTAGTAGAGCACTAGCGCTTGAATAATATTCTCAGCAGTCAGCAGCACTTCTACGTTCAGCCAGAGCCTGGAGATGTTAGACCAGATCAGTCTTTTTTCAGGTTCATCATCAATCATGTTTAGTTTTCTTACTTATTTTCATGTTTTAGGCTTGTTCTGTATCTGGCTATTGAAAAGCTTTGTAATTTTTAGGCTTGAGAGCAGTGTTAATTATTATTGTTAATAGAGCATACTTTGCGCTTCTGAGAAAATAGTCTACCCATAGGTTTTTCTGTGAGTCAAGTTTCTTCTGCTTGGGTATTAGCCAAAAAGAATTGTTCTTCATGGAGCAGCTCATGGTGTGGTTCTGACAGTTCCTCATTTCTTGATTGAGTTGTCATCAACATTGAAGTCAACATCATAATCTTCATTGCTGCTTACTGTCTCACAGTATATCTGTTTCAACTGCTTTTTTTTCTCCCATTGTCAGTGTGTTGCTTGCCATTGCATAAACATGAAATGAGAGGGAGCAGAAACATTGAATACCTCCCACCTCCATAGCTTGTGGAACACTGCTATCACTCAGCCTATCAGGTCGGGAAAAGTCCTACTTTTTTCTGAAATATTGCGGCTCTAACATCATATAATTTCAGTAGGTATGAAATCTCACAGCTCTACTGTCATGTATTTTTGTTTGATTGAAAAAATAGTGGTTTGCACTTTGCAAACCTGTCATTTCATAAAATTTTCAACTTCTGCAATACACATTACTTTGGAGGTCCCTCCAAAATATCCTGCAGAACGTAATCATTGTAATAATAACAAGTCAACTTGAACGTTTCGTTGAAGATTGCACATAGTTGCAGTCATCAGAGCAGTCACACTGTATTAACACATGATCAGCTTACATTAAAGACAAATGTTATTGTTGCTGTAAGCCATTTGACTGTTTTAGCATAAAATTAGATATTTGAGGTAACACATGCATAGACTTTTTAAATTAGTTTGAGGCTCGTAAATGGCATTTCATGGCTGACATTTAGAATTCATGGCTTGAAAAAATAAAGTTACATCTAAAAGAAATGGAATCATGGCTGGCAGATCCATAAAACCATGGCTCAAAAAATTCAGTTGCGGCTTGCCAAGTAGATACATTCCATGCCTGACTGCTATCGTGTGTTGGCCAGGAGATGGAAGAGACTTTACTGCAGACAAGTGGAGCAGTTCACCCAGTTTCAAAAGTTTATATGTCATTTACTAAATGACTTGCCTAATTATTATAGATTAAAAGAGCTGAAATATTATTGATCCAACACCAAAAACAGATCTCAGTTGAAGGATATCTCAACAGACAAGGCTGTCAGATTTGTGGTTACTTTTTTTACTGAGGTTATTAAAAACTAAAGGTGTTTTTTCCACTAACCCTGTGTGATTAGGTTAAAGGATAAACCCTTTTTGCTCAGCTGCAATATTTGCAGCTGCAGAAGCAGGAGTCAGTCACACATCAATGCTTTATGCTTAGAGTCCTCAAAGATAACTTCAAACCTTCCCCTTGCTGATGCAAACAAGGCATAAACTAACAGACTGTGATGAACGAATGATACTTGAAAGATGCCAGCACATTCTGAATCTCACCAAGGATGGCATGCTGCCCAATTCGGTGTCCAGTAATGAGACGAAATTTGACATTGAACAAAGCATTAAGCCATTAACTGTCAAAATGACTGAGTTTGGAGTTAAGATAGATCTGTGGCAACCAGAACAGTAATATGACATCCACTTGATTCAAATCCCATGTCTGTGAGGGTTTGGGCCATGGTAACAGCCACTGGGAGATCTCCACTCATTTTTGTCCCCTCAGGAGTGAAGCTGAACAGTCTCTGTCTGTGACACATTTTGGACATTTTGGAAGCTGAGTTCTTACCATGGGGCTGTAAACACTTCAACAGCTCACCATGGAGTTTTCAACAAGACTCTGCCCCACCACATGGTTCAAATGTGTCCCAAAACTGGATTCAGTGTCACATCCTAGCATTTATTAACAAAAATGAATGGCCGTCAAGAAGCTCTGATTTGAATCCTCTTGACTTTTCTGTGTGGGCTATTTCAGAGAGAAGGGTCTTCTGAACACATCATGATTCTTTGGATACGGTAGTTTTATGTCTAAATTGAAGTGAGAATGGCACTTGATCCCTTGAGAAATGCTGAGTCTCCTGTGAAGCTTTTCAACATATGTTGGAGGCTATCATTAAAATTAATGGTGGCCATATTAAATAAATAAGTTTGAGAATTATTTAGGTGGTTCTTGGCTCATCTAATAAAAAAATCAATTCACCTGTTTTTTTTCCATTAAGAAATAAGAAAAACATGTGTTGCCAAAAATATTTCGAGCCCTGTAGAAAAAAATTCTTCACATTCATGTAACTAAATAAGAAATGTCTATTTAACATATTATCTGGTTTGGAGCTTAATTAGGTTTTATTTTCAGATTTGCCCAAAATCATTACATCATGTCTGGTAGCAAGCAAACACAGAGTAAGGAGGCCTTGCTAAAATCTTACAACAAACGACTCAAAGATGATGTGAAAAGTATCCTGGATAACTTTCTGGGTGAGTCTTTATCAGGTTATAGGAAGTTTTTATAAAGTTGTAGGATGAACAAAAGGAAATTTGCAATGAAAAATTTAATGATTTGTAAAATTTAATTCAATTTTAACTGAGTGTAATTGTATTTTAACAATTTATTGTTTGTCATAAACACTTGATGCCTTTTAGTATTATTAAATAATATCTTTTATGGTATATACTATATTGCAATATTACAAATTATTATAGCCTAATGTTTGAAGAAATGCACTGAGCACTTTGAAAATTTTTACTAAAATGTGAGCCTTTTACTATTGTATATGCTCAAATTTTAAAGGTGTGGAGATTTTGACGAGATTTAAAAATGATTTTAAATAGAAACAAATTTACATTTAATATTTTATTTAAAAAAGCCTATTCACAGCAAACAAATTAGGTTAATACAGAAGTTGATACTGATGTTGAACACTCAGTGTATACGTGAAGTTTATTTTGCAATATAATATTGATACAACAAAAATTAATGCAAAATTTTTTCAGTTCATATTATTGATGTGTCAGGAATCACTATTTTATTTAAAGGTCAGCACTACCGTATATTGTATACAATGGTATATAAATGGAGCCCAGTTGTACACCTGCTTTTCACACAATTTTTAAAGCTTTTTATTAGGCTGGATTTAGCCAGATCATGGTTGCTGGTGTTCTGATCATATTGTGTTTCTCTTTCCAGAAATTGTCAAGCTCGGCCAAGTTGAAGATGAGACACAAGTTGACAGGATCACGCACTTGGAAGAGGTTCACTTCCAGATGAGTGTTCGGTCCCACAATATGGTCAGAGCTGCAGAGTCCTTATTAAAGCTTGTATCAGATGTTAAACAGTATCTCATTCTCAATGATTTTCCATCCGTCAATGAAGCAATAACTCTTAATTCTCAGGTAAGTCTGAAGCTGTTACATTGTAGCCTTTACTCCCAGGTAATGGGACACTGACAGTGTTTGTCACTCCAGTTAAAAAACCAAAAATTTATCGAGTATTTTGAGGATCTTTGAAAGAATGATTGTTTAGGGCCAGTTGCCTCTTAGATGAAGAAATTAGAAGTCCTTTTAAAGTTTGTCTCAAAGGATTATTTTATAACTTACTATATTCTGACATTGAAAACCCATTTCTTTCATATTAGCTAATTTCTTTTGTAGAAAATCATATAGTCAGAATGCCCAATCACAAAATGTGGAGTAACTAACTGCATTTAGTTTCAATGTTGAACGTTGAAATTTTACTTCCATATTACTCCTAAAATTATTTTTTCACCATCAGATGGCACGCAACCGCTGTCAGCAGGTGGACCAGAAGCTCATTGCGCTCAGGGACGACATAGCTGCTGACCTCTATGAGCTGGAAGAAGACTATTATTCCTCCATCTTTAAGGATAGCGCCAAGTAGTTTTCAAGTAATACTTATTGACCAAGTACCTGAATTAGGATAAACGATAATTTAGTACTTAGCAATATAATTACCACTTTCGAAGTAGGAATAAGGTCGAGCAAAAATTTTCAGGGAGTTTACAATTAGTTCTAAACGACGGTGCATCTGATAGGAATGAGTTTATGCTCAACACTGAATGCGAACAGAACATTGAGGAATCCGTTTGGAAATTATGTTACGTTTTACTGTCATATAATTGTATTTACATCTTGACTCATTCACATCTCGACAATTAACGCAAGTGACCACTTATCTATATGCACTACCCTCAAAACGAAACGCTGCACCCGCATTTTCATTTAAGGAAGAAAACTTATGAATTAAGTTGGCACTAACTTGAGCTTCAGGTTACAATTCAGATTTAAAACAGGAGCAATTGACAAGATAGTAACTTCCCTCCATACAAACGTTACCTGACTTACAACTACAATGAAAAGATAGACATTTTGGGGTCTTCAATGAGGAGACTGAGGTGAGGGACGTATATATCCTTACTTATTGACGTATACCTCCAGTCGCACGCACTACCATCACGTAGGGCTTTGGGAGAAATTCAAAATGAAGTTCGATATGATTCGATGGCACATGTGTATGTAGATAATTAACGGGTCACCCAGGATTTTGACAGATACAGTTTTCGAGAAATTGCCTCGCAGACGCATCTCTCAAAACTTCACAATTTAAAATGCTATAATTGTCAAGTACCACAAAAAAAAAAACACTTTAAATAGGTACAAGTAAAAACTTTTTGTGTTCCCACATAGGTAACGTTGTCGCGTCAAGTTTGATTATAACTCATGTTGAAACTTTATAATTAGTTAACAGAAAATACCGATTACGACACAACAAAGAGATGTATATAATGGCTCATCATAATCTAACAATGTAGTAAACAACCCCACCATTTATAAGTAAGAGACATTTATTCAGCACAAACGTCCTATATTTGCTGAGTAGTAAATATGAATAAAACTAAAAACTTTTTTAAATACTCCCTTCCAAATATAACGACCTAAATTAGCTGAACAGCAAGTAGGAATGACTGTCATTAAGGTCTTGAAATTCACCCTGAACATAAAATATGGAAGAATTTCATTCTAATGAAAATTTCAAAGACCATTAAACACATTTCTTGAGATCTATCGAAATATAAGCCAGCACGCACAGCATTCAATAGCGAGAATCGGGAGTGGAAAAATGCCAATAATTGAAAGGTGCTATCAGTAGTAGTAGTATTAGGGGAGAGGTTTCTAGCGCTTAAGATCAAAAGATGCTATTGGGCGCGAATAAAAATTACTAGCTAGCCTAAAATCAATTACAGTTAATACGTTATTTCATGAACACGGATTCCGAAGACATTCCGAGCTAATTTCCAATTTGTTAGAAAAGCGCAAAAAAAAAGTGTGAACAAGAAATGATACACTTGCGAATGGCAACGGTGAGAAGCGCGTGGCATCTTTCGTACAGTCATCATGAAAAGTTCAAGTACGTATTGCAAGACTTCAAAAAAGCAACGAGCAGCATCCACACTGTGATATTTGGTTCTACTAAAGCTACGGTAAATCATTCCCGTATCTGGCCCCTTGTCTTAGTTCCCAGTTTATGAAGGCATTAACAAGAAGCTATTTTCTTTCCCATAATGTAGCAAAATATATATATATATTATTTCTTGAACTAATAATACTTGGTTAACTCCTTAACTAATTTGGCACAACATTAATGCAAACATTGGACGGAGTAACCGTGGAATGATACATAATTAAAGGCCAAAAATTCGTGATCGTACGTCAGAATTATCACTAGTGATTGACTAATATCCAGAGTGAGCGTTAACAACAATTATTGACTAATAAAAAGGGCAACCAGGGTTTCCCCAATAAGGTACAATGTAATACTCAGTGCATCAAGGGTAAGTGCTTCTGGAAGGGCAAATGACTCTGAGCCAATAAAAGCAATAACCTTTTTACACACTGCTAAAGTTACTACTGTAAATTGAAATAACACTGCAGGCATTCAAGTGACAAGTCTTTTGGATAATAAACCAACTAGAGCAACATTTAGAAATTCTCCGACTATGATTAAATTACCAACTCCCATAAAAAAAAATAATTCCATGGGTGAGTAACGTGAAACAAAAAAGCGTACAAGGACTTATAATAAAAGACACAGTAAGCTCTTTGGGCCATGTTAAACAGAAATAAGTAATTGTGTCGATGATTTTGGCAAAGCAGCAAAGAATACACTGAGTATCTGATGAACATACGTTCAGAAAAATAAAACTACAGGACAAAAGGGCAGTAACGATATAGTGGAACTGGGGGTCAAACACGCAGCCGGTTGAACCGTTGGCCTCCCGATTAACTTAGGTAGGAATCTCATTGCAATAAGAGGACAAATATGTCCACTAAGGCGATCAGGGTTAAAAACCCTTGTCAGAATAAGAACGAACAAAAATATCTGGCTGAGTTGAGTGACTACAAGCCTATTAAGCCGGCGGTTGTGATGGCTGAGTCTTGTAGTCAGCATAGCTTGTTCTTCCACCGGCCAACTGCGTAAGGGAAAATGCAGAAACGTTAAAAAGCATAAGGCGTAAGTTTTGTTGTGACTATAACAACCATCTCTCACCGAAAGTTAAAAAAATGGCATCGCCAACAAATAAATTAGCTGAGAATCAGCACCAAGTTAGAAGGTTTGAAATGTTTAAAATTTCTCTATTAAAACTTGTTTCTCACAAACAAGTAGCAGAAAGTCACAAATGGAGTGATGAAGCTGGAAAAGCTATAAGGAAGGAAGCTGGAAAGAATTTGGTAGAAAAAAAGCTGGCAAGAATGAAGCAGAATAAAATGAAGATGGCAAGAAAGAAGTTAACAAAAATGAAGCCAGCAAGAATGAAGTCGACTACGAAGAAACTGGAATAAAGATGACCAAAAAGAAGCTCACTAGAATGAAACAGTCAAAGGAGGAGCTGGCAAGAAGCAAACTACTTTATCATCTCGGAGACATGATAACGCTGATCACAAGCAGTTCTTAAAACTGAGGAGGCGTACAGCAACACCAAAATACAATCACGCAAGTGTCACCTGTGCAGTACCAAGGCTAGCTGTACGAGAAAGGCGGATAAGAAATGTGCAAGAAATCATACAATCACAACAACTGAACACAGCATCGACCAGAAGTCGCATCTTACGAGCTTCTCATGATCAACATACCCTATGCAAATAGTAAACTTTTATACTGCATAATTATAACCAATTCATTTTGTAAAATTTCTTTGCATCATGGTAATAACGCATATGTGACCAATATATAACATTATATAAGGCAGGGAGCAACAAGTGCTAGATAAAACATCCCACATTCCCACCTCCAGCAGGTAGCGGTCGGGGTGTTCGGCCCACTCGCTTGTTGTGATTTTAACTTTCCGTCTGATCTCCACGTCCTTGGCTTGTCGCTTCTTGAACTCCTTCTGATTCTCTCTGAAATATTTATGAATTAAGGTTTATGACAATTTCTAAACAAGTCAACAGAATTGTCTTTTATGAATATTGAATTTCCACAGCTGTTTCACCACAGTCCCATTTGGGAATTAACACCTAAAAACTAACCAATGGTAACTTGTAAAATCATCCCTATAAGACCCATTATTGAAGCTAGTAGCATTGCATCTATTGAAAAGCCACTGCACACGTTAAGAATATACATAGGCTATAGTGAGACATATTGTTGAGACTGATAATATTCCATCAATTAAAAAGCCAATGCACACGCTGGTAGCATCACCTCAACTGGCCTGCTCATACTGGCCAGCTCATTACTGGCCTGCTCATTCAACTGACCTGATTTGCTGCGAGCCACATCCCCAGACCTCGATGCTGCCCAGCTTGTAGGGAATGTTGTGGTGCTGGAATTGATTCATTTCCTTGTTGACGGTAAGTGCTCGGCTCTCGTAATTATCTCCCACCTTAAAGTAAAGATACAACGTAAGATATATGAAGCGGCTACTAAGCAGATTATGGTCGTGTCATGCCCAACTCAAGATGTTTGGAAGCTTGACTGACTTGACCTCGGTTGCAACTACTCACTCCACGTTGGAATTTTAAACTAAGGTTGAGTATAATGTTAACTAATGCAGTAAATGGACTAGTAACAGTAAATACTGATCAGAGTCCAAAAAGAAGAATAATATACGTTTAAAAACTACTTTTTAAAGACAACACTTCCAAAGAATCCAGTATCTCCAATCTTACAGATGTACAATGAATTTCTCATCTAATTTTTTACAACACTTCTCTTTAACTTCACTTCTTGTTTGTCTGTCTGTCTGTCTGTCTGTCTGTCTGCTACAAATCTTGTAATCGAAATTTAACACACTCCTACTTATCCTATCGATCTGAAATTTTGCACACTTGGGTAAAGTTGGAGACAATGAATGGATCAAATGTCAAAATAAAAGATTTTAAAAATTAATTTTTTTTTTTTCAATATAAAAAAAAATTGAAAAAATAATTTTGTCAGCTACAAATCTTATAACTGATATCTGACACACTTTTACCTGTCTGATTGATCTGAAATTTTGCACACTTGTGTACACTTGTGTGAAGTCAGAGGCAATGCATGAATCAATTAATAGAATAAATAATTTTGAAAAAATTATATATTAAAAAATTTATATATTAAAAAAAATTGAAAAACTAATTTTTTAATTTGAAAATTAAATGAGAAATTCATTGTACATTTGTAAGATTGGAGACACTGGATTCTTTGGAAGTGTTGTCTTTAAAAAGTAATTTTTAAACGCATATTATTATTTAAATATATACCTAAAAATTTTTTTTAATACTATATAATTTTTTTTTCAAAATTATTTATGCTGGTTATTGATTCGTGCATTGCCTCTGATTTCACACCAGTGTGCAAAATTTCAGATCAATTAGACAGGTAAAAGTGTGTCAAATATCAGTTATAAGATTTGTAGCTGACAAAATTATTTTTTCAATTTTTTTAATATTAAAAAAAATATTTTTTTTTAATTTCTAAAATCTTTTTTTTTTTTACATTTGATTCATGCATTGTCTTCAACTTTACACAAGTGGGCAAAATTTCAGATCGATAAGATAAGTAGAAGTGTATTAAATTTTGATTACAAGATTTGTAGCAGACAGACAGACAGACAGACAGACAAACAAGAAGTGAAGTTAAAGAGAAGTGTTGTAATAAAAAAAATGGCTGACCTGAACCCCAGTGGGGAAACCTCGCCACGTAAGATTGAAGTACATCAATTTCTCACCACCTGTACGGCAAATAAAGCATCATTAGCCATGATTTTAAAACGAATGTAAAAAATAAATACTAACTGTAAAAAAATTAATTGCTTCAATTTGATTAGCGAATGACAGAATGAGATGAAATCTTAATGGATCGCAGAAAATTACAAAAATTGTTGCCGGAGTAGACGTATTTTAGATTTTTGCTCTCAAAAGTATATATATGTATACAAAGAAAGCTACAGTTGCACTAGTAAAATGTTTATATCACCAAAAGCAAAAAATTAACATTTCTGGTACTTATAGGTCAAACGTAACAACAGATAACAGAGAATGCTGTATTGTGAAGGCTGAGAATTCACAAACTCACGCTCGACTATCTTGTACTTGGGCCTGATCTGCAACAAGCAGCAATCCTCGCCACCCCAGAAGTTTTTCGAGTCCTTCCATTCCTCATCAAGAGCGAGGCAGAAAGCAACGTCATCGTCCTGGGCAGTGAAGATTGTGAGTGTTGGGCCGCGGTAGTTGAAAACATGCACCTCAAATCTGTTGACGCCGAGCCCATCACGGTCGCTGAAGTACAGTGGCTCCCAGTGCCGAGGTCTGCCCGTTGACAGCTGCAGGATGAAGGCAAAACAGTGAATGAGAATGTTACTCCTTTACCAAATTGTGGCTGACAAGCATTCGGGCAAGAACACGGAAAGTGACAAAGATAAGCATGACGCTCATAACGGTCAGAATAAGAAGAGTCGTCATGAAATGGAAGTCATTCATCAGGGCAAGATTATATATATGGACAGTTAACAAGATGAATACCATTCATTAAAGCAGGAATGAGGATAGTCATCACGATGTATATACGTATTCATTGCAGCAAGAATAAGGGCACTTACAAGTGTGTGGATGAAACTCATGACAGGAAGAGAAGAGCGTCGGACTTTGCGTGGCTCATCAAGCGGCTGATGCTTGGTGTAGGTGAGAGGCAAGGAGCAGGTCAGCAACCAAACAAGGCTCGGATTCAAGCTTGAGGATTCATTGCTGTCCAAGACTGGAGTGTCAGCATCAGCCTCGTCCTGGGAACATCAAGGTACAGGTACGTAAAGAAATCTACAAATACATAATAAAACACCTAGATATTTTCGTCCTAGAAACAACAGTGAGCTTGCCAGTGATACATATAGAACTTCAAAAATGTCGAGGTAAGGAAATGCGCCACTTTTTTCACGTCACAATTAACTTTGACCACTGAAGATGTTTATGACAAACTGACACTAGCGCGAATATCGAAATTTTTACAATTAAGGGCAACACATGTGCACTTCTACAGACAGTGTGAATAAGTATTTCTTACTCTTGCTTCATCCAATTGCTGCATCAATTCAGCAGAATAGCTCAAACCCGATGACAGTTTCATTACAGGAAGAGTCCACAGAGATACACTTTTATTTGCTATGTCAGTCGAGTTGTGGGCAGGGACGCTAACAGTGCGCGTCACTGAAGACTTATCTTCACTGGAAATATTCTTGAATGAGCTTCCAAGAGACGAGGAGTTCAATGGAGGACCCATAGAATGGGTGGACACTTTCCGAGATGGTGGCTCAGGTTTCAACAGTGTAGCATTAGGATCTTCTAGGAGAGATGGTGAAGAAAAGGAAGGAGAAAAGACCCTGTTTGCTATATGTCGATGCATCCAATGAACCAATCGGTGACAGTGCTGTAGACACCACTTACACAGATAGCTCACACCTACTGACTTCTTGTTAGGCATTGCAGCGTCCAGAAGAGCATTAGCTTCTCGTGAGCCAAATTCAGGACTGTGGACATGACTGAGCTCATGTGCTGCCCGTACCAGTGCAAGGAACTGTTCCCTGGTGATCTGGTCACCATCAGCAAATCCTGCAAAACTTAGGCTTCCAGCAACAAATTTTGAGCTATCGGAATGAGCATCAATAATTGTCACAACATTTAGTTTCATTGCCAGGACTTCATTAGCACATCTTATAATACTTAGTGTTATATATCTGCATTTAAGCTATCATCACTTATGGCATACCGTATACACATTTTGCAATACTTATTATGCTTATGACTTTTATAACCACTCAGAATATACCAAAATAATAAAATGCTAAAATCTTGTAAACCTGAATGTAAATCTTTCCAAAGTACACTTAGGTAGATGTATTTCATCTTAATGTTTCTGTTTCTCTATTCTCACCATTTATGTAGAACTTGAGTTGATCACCATCAGAGATTAGACTGATGAACTGGTTGGCACCTTTGATGAATTGTTCAACAGAGAGATAGGGCAAGAGCTCTGATGAATTGGTCACGAAACTGCACATTTGGCGGAAGATGCATCGGCCAAGACTTTCATTACCATTGCAGAGATGCTTCTGTAATATTCAGGACAAATTGTTGAATAATTATGGATTAATTTGTGAAATATACACTAAAAATATATACCTATATGTTGATTAAAGGGAAATCCTTTTTTTATAAACTAAAACTATTGTTGAATGATACATTACTTACAGTAATTACAGATTCACAGATGCCATCAATCTTCTCCAAAAACATAGACTGCTTCCTCAGCATCTGGAATGAAATACAATACATAACCCTAATTTAAAATGTAAGTTTTAGAACTTATGGCCCAGTCACAATCTTTGATTATTCAAGTATAGATACATGCAATATGGAGACTGGATTTACAAATAGAAATGACTCATTTGAAGTAATTTAAAATTTGATTTCCCTTGTGACCTGTTTAGACCATGCCATATTATTCTATTTAGATGATAACATTATTTTCAATTAATTCCAAGGCATAAATTTAATCTGTGTACAGATCTATATATACCTACAGCCCACTTTTCTCTATACACTTTCATATCAATATAATTATGGCATATATAAATTTTTTCTTAGAGTAACTAAAGAATAGATTAGTTCCAACAGTGTGAATTAGCAGAAGAAATGTGCAAGTGTCAGCAATTGTCCTCACCTTGGCAACTTCAACATTAGTGGGATCACTCTTCCTAGGCCTTGATGTATCATCATTGGCCTCATATGCACTTCTTGGCCCTGAATTCAATTTATATGATGATGAGTTACCCATATTAACTGTAGAACTATGAAGACAAATAACACCAGAAATCTGAAAATGTTGAGAAATGTTATCAGTGGCACTGAAGTCATATGGGATGAGTCAGGGGAATATACAGAAATTAGTTAATAAATAAGATGTTGTATTATCCATTTACAATTAATTCATAAGCAATAACAATGAGGCCCAAAAGTTGGACAGATGGAATAAGTATAGGTACCTATATTTCCTAAAGAGGCATAAAGACTAAAATTTCCTAAAGAGGCAAATGAGGCATATTGACAAACTAAAGATGTTTGACTAAAGAGACATAAAATAGATAAATACAAATTATAAACTATATAGGTATGGATATATACTATAATAAAGAAATTAACTTAATAGAATGACAAGAAATGGCAAAGAATTTGCTTAGAATATGGTTGAAGAAAAAACTAAACCAGTGTAAACCATAGTTAAACGATTATGATCAAATATAGCTTTTTTTGGCTGTTAAATTTTTATGCATTTTCAGATTAAAACTACGTATTCAAAATACACAAGATAAACAACTGACTTTGCAGGTGAAGTGCTCTTTTTACACACCCCTGTGGGTATAATAATGTCTCACTACATGAATGCAGCTTAGATTAATTGAAATGTGGTACTGTCAAACGGAGTAATGAGGGACTGGTGGAGTAGTGAGGGACAGTCCTCTGGCATGGCGTAAAAATGTTATAGAAGCAAAACTAATTGCAGCAATGCAAACTAAAAACAGTGGCACAAACTTCAAAATTTTTCCTATCTATGTAGCATAAAGGAAGTTGAGAAATCAAACATCTACTAGCTCTAACAATTTACTGAAAAAATTAAAAAATGATAATTCAGAAAATTACTTCTGCTAAGGTCTGTAGTAAAAAAATATTTGCCATATTAACAAATTTTGCTTGAAAAAAAAAAAAAAACTTGCAGACAGATCTTGTCTTCAAAACTTTATTGACAGAATTTGCATACCTACCTCAATTGAAAACAAAATGGCAACCATTTCTACAAGACGGGGTATTATGGGACACCTCCACTGGGGTAATACGGGACACCCCTAAAAATGCATTTACAGTAGAACCTCTGTTAGCAAAGGGTCTGGCTAACAAAAAAACTGGTTAATGACAAAGAATTTTGATTAAATTTACCTACTTTGGCAAAAAATTCACTTGAAAGGAAATTAATGCATCATTGGTCATCACAAAATTGTGCATAGAATGTCATAGATAGAATTGTGCACTGGGCAACCTAGAATGAGAAGTAAGTAACCTAAACCATGATTTATCTCCCCAAAAAATATGATTGTTGTCACTAAAATATTCCTCTCCATTTCAGGTATTTTTTATAATTTTCATTTTTATAGTCAATTAATTCACTTGACAAAATTAAAATGGTGCAAAACTACAACCCTAGTCTAGTAAGCTTACGGAGGAAATGTTATATGGCTGCTGATATAAAGCTTGCAGTGGGCAAGGTCATTGTCAATGGCATCAAAGTTTTTTAGGGGTTTCAAAGTGTTAGGTACATAGAATGGAAAAAATAGTTTTTGTTAATGAAAAGTGGATACAGCAACATCATCAATAAAGGAAAAACCAGTATAAATCACTGAAAACATCATTTATTCTACATCAGTATCAAATACAAATGAAGAGAAAGACTTTGGAATTCCGTCAGAAGGGGTAATAAGGGACGGTTTTGAGCATTTTACAACACTTCTCTTTAACTTCACTTCTTGTTTGTCTGTCTGTCTGCTACAAAACTTATAATCGATATTTAACACACTTCTACCTGTCCAATCGATCTGAAATTTTGCACACTTGCGTAAAGTTGGAGACAATGCATGAATCAATTGACTGAATAAATAATTTTATAAATTAAAAAAAAAATCTCATTATTAAAAAAAATAGAAATAATTTCGTCTGCTACAAATCTTATAATCCATATATGACAAAATTTGACCTGTCCAATTGATCTGGAATTTTGCGCAATTGCATAAAGTCAGAGACAATGCATGAATCAATTGACAGAATAAATAATTTTGAAAATTTACAAAATTTTGATATCTTAGAAAATGTTGAAAAATAATTTTTTTTTAATATTTGAGAATTAAATTAGAAATTCACCGTAATGTGTAACATCCACTGGATTGTTTAGAAGTGTTGTCTTTAAAAAGTAATTTTCAAATGCATATTATTAGTTAATAACTTACTACCATGAAACATTTTGAACATTAATGAATTTGAGCTCATTTTAAAGATCTTTGCAAGTGCTATCAAAAAATTCCATATGCTATTTGTAAGGTGCCAGACCCAAAATAGAAGCATCCCAAATTACCCCTTGAAACAGGGTAATCAGGAACACTTATAAATGAAACCAAATTTTAAACATTTGAAGCATGCAGAGTGTACTCATCAATTACTAACAGTACTCTGAAGTCTTCCTCTTCCTTTGTAGATGATGTAGATGTGAAATAAATGACATTTTCTCTGTGATTTTCACTTGCTTTTCCTTTATCAAGATGATTTTACCATATCCATACATTACTGTATTACAGTAGGTATTGATGTCATATTACCATATCCATGAACATGCCATTGAGCATTTACAACAACCTTGTCCAATGCAAGCTTCATATCAGCAGCCCTATAGTATTTCTTCTGTATCAGTAAGCTTACAGGACGGCTTGTAATTTTACACCATTTTAATTCGTCCAAAGAATTCACTATAACCAAAAAAAAAAAAAGATTGTAAAAAGCATCCCTGAAACAGAAAGGAATATTTTAGTGACTACCATCATATTTATTGGAGAAATAAATCATAGTTTAGGTACATTTATCTTCATTCTATGTACAATTTTGCAATGACAGATGATGTATTAATTTTTCGTCAAGTGAAATTTTTTTCGCTGAGCTAGGTAAATGTAATCAGAATTTTTTGTTGTTAATTGATTTTTCGTTAACTGGAGACTTTGCTAATTGAGGTTCAACTATAAATGCATTTTTAGAGATATCCCGGGGGGTGTCCCTCATTACCCTGTCTCACAGAAATGGCAGCCATATTTTTTTTGGAATGAGATACACAAATTCCATCAATCAAATTCTTAAGCCAACAGCTGTGTGCAACTTGTATGTAAGTAAAATTTTTAATATGGCAAATGGTATTTTTCTACAGACCTTAGCAGAGGTACTTTTCAACAATCTTATTTTCACACTTTTTCCCATAGATTTTTTAGAGGTAGTAATTGTATGATTTCTTAACCTAACCTGCTTTATGCTACATAGATAGTAAAATTGTTGAACTTCACACCACTATTTTTAGCTTTGCAATATTTTGATTAGTTTAGCTGCTCTACAAAATGTAGGACAACTGTCCCGATTTAACCCCACCAGGCCACCATCCCTTATTACCCTGTTTGACGGCATAAATTTAAGCTAGAGCACAAACTCAGTTGAATGAATTATCTTCTACATATATGATCATTAATAGAACTACTTGATTGCAACCAGAAATTAAAATATTTGCATAAAATAAGTGCCATTTGAGTTGCAATGTTATGCCAAAAATGTAGATATTTTTAATTCTACAAGTGGATTCAAGCTGGAAATTTTATCCATAATGTAGACTTTCCCAATTATTAATTTTATGTGCAATTTATAGAGAAACCTCTTGGAAATTATAGATTGAACTAAACTAATACCTGTAGATAATTTTAACCAGTGTCCACAGCCATGACTAGAATTTTCCTACTACAGTTAATGTTTTTAGTGTAAAACACTTGGTAACAGCATATTGATATACACTGCTGCATTAGCAACCAGAATCTGGGATCTTTATATCACGTAGTTGCATGCTTGCTCTCACTGTATTCTCATGTACAAGATTCTGCTCCCTCAAACAGCTTCTGCCCATCTGCTGTGTATATAACATTTAACTCTCATTGGTGGCATGATTTGCTATTACTTCATAAAGGTTAATTTGTTGTATTCAACTTAGAGACAAATTGTCAATGAATTACGGTACGTACTACCTATTTATTATATACAGCAATCCCTTGATTAACGCGGTTAATAAATCCCCGAGTTTTACCGTGTTAAGCAAAACCGCGCTTATCAAACTTAAGAATATATGGGAATAATTATAATGAATCCTCAAAAATAGCAAAGGAAAGGAAAATTATGTAGTTTGATAAAAGTGAGCAGTAGATATGGCAGCGATCTTGACCAGTTGAAGGCTAACAAGTAACTAGCCCTTTACGCACTGAATTATGTTTCGAAAGTGAAAAAACAATCTGAATTACTTTTCAGATCACGCGCAGTCTTTGTGTTGTACTGGCAGTAGCGGTGCACCTACTCCATCGAACGTTGTTCGAACGAGTTCACAACATGTGACGCTACCGTCACACTTGCGGCTAGACTCCAAACCTGTAATTACTCTCGGTAGAAGCTTTTATTTTCTGTGTGACGAATTTGTCACACCAGGGCTTAAAGGGCTAGAGCACCGGCATGGCGCACTTACCGGCGAACGTTGCCGAACTCAATCATTCGAGTTATGAACAAGACAAGGCGCGGTTAAACCGACTCTGTAGTCAGCACGAGTGCCTATGGAACGGGACCTTATTTTAAAGAATTATTGGCTGAAATTCATAAAGTAACAACATTTGGTGAATTTTTCCATAAGTCATAACAAAAGTAACAACATAAGATCTAATAAGCAAAAAGTAACACTTTAGTTACGAACGTAACACCTCTGGCTAGAGGTGGGAAAATGATGCATCATGAAAAAAAAGTTGCGCTAATCAAAACTGGCACCGTGTAGATTAAGGGTAGGTTGCAAATTTTTTTTCCGCGTTAATCAAAACAGCGGTATTCAAAACCGTGCTAATCAAGGGATTGCTGTAGTCTAATTGAAATCTAACTGTTTTAACTTAACTTTCATTCTTTTAGGTGCGCAACTTCAATTTCTCTTGTTTTTCTTCTTATATCTTGGTGAAAAATACAAAATTTTCACTTTTTTGGTTTTTGCTGCAATTT